CCCCCCTGCCCCAAACAACGCATCCCCCCCACCCACCCCCCCGTTTCCCATTGCAGTGAGCTGGATTACTACGACTCCCCCAGCGTCAACGCGCGGTGCCAGAAGATCTGCGACCAGTGGGACGTGCTGGGCTCCCTGACCCACAGCCGCAGGGAAGCCCTGGAGGTGGGGGTCGCCCCATCCCTTCCCCACACGTGGCTCAATGGTTTCTCACCCCAGGTGGGATTTTTCTCCCTGCAGAAAACGGAGAAGCAGCTGGAAACCATCGATGAGCTGCACCTGGAATACGCCAAGAGGGCAGCGCCCTTCAACAACTGGATGGAGAGCGCCATGGAGGACCTGCAGGACATGTTCATCGTGCACACCATCGAGGAGATCGAGGTGGGGGGGGGGTCTCAAATGGGGGGGCAGGTCGTAGAGTCGTAGGATCATAGAATCACCGAGGTTGGAAAGGACCTAAAAGCTCATCCGGTCCAACCGTTCCCCTGTATTCCCAATAGCTCCCACTAAAGCACGTCCCTCAACACCACAGCCAGTCTGTGTAGCCCTGTGGGTTCCCATGTATCCCTATGGGTCTCCCATGTATCCCTATGGGTCCCCTATGGGTCCCCCATGTATCCCTATGGGTCCCCCATGTATCCCTATGGGTCCCCTCTGGGTCCCCATGTATCCCTATAGATCCCCCATGTATCCCTATGGGGTCCCTATGGGTCCCCCATGTATCCCTGTGGGTCCCTGCGTATCCCTGTGGGTCCCCAATGCATCCCTATGGTCCCCCATGTATCCCTATGGGTCCCCTCTGGGTCCCCCATGTATCCCTGTAGGTTCCCTATGTATCCCTATAGGTCCCCCATGCATCCCTATGGTCCCCCATGGTCCCCCATGTATCCCTGTGGGTCCCCTCTGGGTCCCCCATGTATCCCTATAGGTTCCCTATGTATCTCTATGGGTCCCCCATGTATCCCTATGGGTCCCTATGGGTTCCCCATGTTTCCCTATGGGGTCCCCATGGTCTCCCATGTATCCCTATAGGTCCCCATGCATCCCTGTGGGTCCCCCATGCATCCTTGGGGGGTCCCCCATGAGTCCCCCATGTATCCCTATGTGTCCCCCTGTATCCCTCTGGTCCCCCATGTATCCCTATAGATCCCCCATGCATCCCTGTGGGTCCCCATGCATCCCTACGGTCCCCCATGCATCCCTAGGGGTTCCCCACGTATTCTATGGGTCCCCATGTATCCCTATAGGTTCCCTATGTATCCCTATAGTCCCCCACGTATCCCTGTGGGTCCCCATGCATCCTTGGGGGGGGTCCCCATGCATCCCTGTGGTCCCTCGTGTATCCCTGTGGGTCCCCACGCATCCCTATGGTCCCCCATGCATCCCTGTGGGTTCCCCATGCATCCCTGTGGGTCCCCTATGTATCCCTGTGGGTTCCCCACGTATTCTATGGGTCCCCATGCATCCCTATGGGTCCCCCACGCACCCCTGTGGGTCCCTCCAGCCACCCAGCATCACCTGGGGTCTGGTTGCAGCCAGAACGCAGGACCCAGCATTTGTTCTGGGTGAACCTCATCCCATTGGCTTCAGCCCAGCTCTCCAGATCCCATATGGCAGATCCAACCCTTCGGTGTCACCTCCAAATTTACTCAGTGCCCCCACATCCAGCCCATCCATAAAGATATCAAACAGGACAGGTGCCAGCATCCCCATCAGCTGGCTTCAACTCCACTCACCACCCCTTTCTGATCCCAGCTCCTTCCCCAGCCAGATCCAACACTTTCAGCCAATTTGCCATCACCTCCAAAGTTACTCAGGTGCCCCCACATCCAGCTCATCCATACAGATATCAAACAGGACAGGACCCAGCATCCCCACCAGCTGGATTTAACTCCATTAACTCCATTCACCACCACTCTCTGAGCCCAGCTCCTTCCCCATCCAGATCCAACACTTCCAGCCAATTCAGCATCACCTCCAAATTTACTCAGGGTGCCCCCAATGTACTCAGGGTGCACTCGATGCCCCCTCATCCAGCTCATCCATAAAGATATCTAACAGGACAGGTCCCAGCATCCCCACCAGCTGGATTTAACTCCATTCACCACCCCTTTCTGATCCCAGCTCCTTCCCCATCCAGATCCAACACTTCCAGCCAATTCAGCATCACCTCCAATTCAGCATCACCTCCAAAGTTACTCAGGGTGCCCCCACATCCAGCCCATCCATACAGATATCAAACAGGACAGGACCCAGCATCCCCACCAGCTGGATTTCACTCCATTCACCACCACTCTCTGATCCCAGCTCCTCCCCATCCAGATCCAACACTTCCAGCCAATTCAGCATCACCTCCAATTCAGCATCACCTCCAAATTTACTCAGGGTGCCCCCAATTTACTCAGGGTGCACTTGATGCCCCCACATCCAGCCCATCAGTAAAGATATCAAACAGGACAGGACCCAGCATCCCCACCAG